GATGCCATGATCTTAGTTTTCTGAATGTTGAGTTTTAAGCCAACTTTTTCACTCTCCTCTTTCACTTTCAACAAGAGGCTATTTAGTTCTTCTTCGCTTTCTGCCATAAGGGTGGTGTCATCTGCATATCTGAGGTTATTGGCAATCTTGATTCCAAGGTTAATTGATAACAGACAGTCTAGTCTTCATAAAAGACTTTTATGAAAGAAAAAGGACATTACATAAAGGAATCAGTTCTACAAGAAAGAAGATATATTTCAACATGGGGTTATATAAATACATATATAAACATTATACAGTATAAATAGTGATAAAAGGAGAGATAGTCACATGATACTAGTGAAAAATTTAACACTTACCTCTATGGACAGATCATATAGATAGGAAATAATTATGCAGACACTGGCCTCAAGGGATATATTAGACCAAATCTACCAACTAACTAGCTATGTAGATATGTATGTCTGAAATATATAACAGTCCATTTGAAAGAAGCAGAATACACATTTTTTTCCAAGTGAACATGGAAACTTTTCCCAGGATAGATCACATGCTGTGTCACAAAACAAGTCTCAATAAATTTAAAAAGTTTGAAATAATATCATGCGTCTTTTCTGACATCAATGGTATGAGACTAGAAATTGATTGTAAGAAAAGCGCTGTAAAAATAGAAACACGGGGTAAAAAGCATGCTTACACTTTGGCAGTACAAATGCAGAATGGCATAACTGCTCTAGAAAAGTTTGATACTTTCTTATAAAATGACGCATGCATTTACCATATGACACAGAAACTCCACACTTACATAGGGGAGTGAAATGAGAATTCATGTTCAAATCAAAGCCTATAAACAAGCTTTACATCATTTTTATTCATAACCACCAAAAAATGGCAACCATCATAATATCCTTCCTAGATGTGTGGATCAAGAAACTGACACATTCATACAATGAAAGACTTAACTCCTCAATTCGAGGAAATAAGCTGTTGATAAGACATGATGCGTGGGTGACTCTGAAGACGTTAAGCTGAAAGAATGAGTCAGTCTCAGAATGCTGTGCCCTGTGTGGCTCCTTTTCATACGCTGCTGCCGCTCAGCCATTCCCATCGTGTCCGCGTCTGCGTGACCCTGTGGACCGCAGCCCGCCGGGGAGCTCTGTCTGTAGGACTCTCGAGACAAGGGCACTGAGCTGGGTCGCCATGCCCTCCTCCAGGCCCTTTTTTATGACATCCTAGTAAAGATAAAACTATAAGACCAGAGAAAATATGGATGATTTCCAGGAGTTAGGGTGAGTGTTTTGACTACAAAGTGAATAATATCAAGAGGAAAATTTTGGAGGTGATGGAAAGTGTTCTGTATACTGATTGTGCTCACGTTTATACAAATCTGTGTAAACTCATTATAACTGCAAGGAGACAACAGCAAAAATTTAATTTTACTGCATGTTCCCATGTGTATGTGGGGTAGAAAGGTGCTTTGCTTTTCATATAATTGTCAGTCTATTTTGAAAAACATGTATGGGTGTGAGAGTTGGACTATAAAGAAAGCTGAGCGCCAAAGAATTGATGCTTTTGAACTGTGGTGTTGGAGAAGACTCTCGAGTCCCTTGGACTGCAAGGAGATCCAACCAGTCCATCCTAAAGGAAATCAATCCTGAATATTCATTGGAAGGACTGATGCTGAAGCTGAAACTCCAATACTTTGGCCACCTGATGCGAAGAGCTGACTCATTGGAAAAGACCCTGATGCTGGGAGGGATTGGGGGCAGGAGGAAAAGGGGACGACAGAGGATGAGATGGTTGGATGGCATCACTGACTCACTGGACACGGGTTTGGGTGGACTCCGGGAGCTGGTGATGGACAGGGAGGCCTGGTGTGCTGTGGTTCATGGGGTCGCAAATAGTCGGACACGACTGAGCGACTGAACTAACCTGAACTGATTTTGAAAGAACAGCCACCATCTCTAATATTGCCACTCACCTTACCTAGGGAAATAAACAACAACAAAAAAGAAATATATATATATATATATATATATATGCATGCAGTGATGCTTAATGCCTCTTTCTGAACGTTATACTTGCCATTTCTACTTATACGTCTTAAGAAAAAAGTCACATAGTCACATTTAATTATAAGTTGTTCGACAGTTTAACACAGCCTTGTCACTAGAAGGAGACAGCTGAATTATTGAGAACAGTCTTAATGACCACCACATTTAATGAGTAATGGAAATACTCAGAGCAAATATATTGTATTCTACTATTGAGAAATGTGTTTCTTTTCATTTGTTTTTTCTTTTTGGAAAGGAAATGCAGAGATGTCTGGCCATTTGTCAGATTGCAAATGCATGTTAGTATTTTTTGTAAGCTGAATTGGTGCTTTGTGATAACCACGTGTTTGGTCTTGTTTCACAATAGCAATGATCCTTGGTCCGAGTAGGAGCAATCTCAAATTGGACTCGGAATCTCCTTCTTTATTAATTGAAAATAAGTATTACCCTACTTCCTACAATGCAGAATTACTTTGGGTGAAATTTTAAGATAGTGAATGTGAAAATAATTAGAATTATAAAATACTATTCAACCATGAAAGTTAATAATTAATATTTTATTTTATATATTATTATAGTCATTATAATCATAAAGTGTGTAGTACTTGAAGAGGTCTAAGTAATTTTACCTGTATGACTTCTTCACATTTCAAAATAGTAGATGCATTTCTTTGGTCTTTATAAGCAGAGAAAATTGGATTCTTTAAAAAAATAGACATTTTTGAAGATTTTTATTTTCAAGCCAGCCTGAAGAAAGTTTCTTTGATTTCCTTAGATAAATATTATTTCAATTTGGGTCATAACAAGCATTCTCTCTTGGTAATGTAAATTCATTTCCTATTGGTGTTTATTAGTTAGTTATCTTTGACTTCAGAATACCAGTATTTAATATCTATAGTCTCAAAAAAATTTTTTTCTTTCCTCTTTGCTATCCTAAAGCCATGTGTCCTTATAAAGGATTTTCTTTTAAGTAGAAATTGAAAGATTACACATAGACAGGGAAACAAACAGATCACAGAACTGTATGATCTTTAAAAGTGACAAATGGAAAAGATTAAAATAATTTATGAAAACTATTCTTTTCTAGAAAATTTAATCATGTTGATAAATCTCACATACAAGTAAAATGTTTTTAGAGTGATTTCTTCACAAGCTTCTAACGACCTAGCTTTACAGGACATTTTCTAGTCCTTTTCCTTTGTATATACCAACACCATCTCTCTCCATGATTGAACTGGACAACACGGGGTGATGAGTTTGCTCATGTTCTGTATAAAACCACTGACCTGAAACACAATAGTAAAACTCAGCTTTGCATCAAATAGTTTCTTTCGTGTCTTCCTCTGAAAGATTGATTTCTTAAACATGACAGTGTTTGCTTTATAAAACACTGCTGGTTTCGCCCCAGAACAAGACTTTAAATAGAGTCCTGTGAAAAATCAATTTATTGAGTTAGAGATATTGATAATGTTTTTATTTTCTGTTGTTTATATACTGTCACCTATGATGTATTACTGTGAAAATAAGAATCCTCTATCAACATAAAGTAATCAAATAACATCTCTAACAGAAAGCATATAGGTCAATAATGGCTGTTTTTTAAAGTAAAGATCAAATATTATTGTTTAGACTTTGCAGAAAGCATACAGTGCACAAAGACTGAATTCCAAATATGTGATTTGAAGACTTTTTTTTTTTTAGTATTGTGACTTGAATATATTAGAAGCTAAACGGCCCTAAAATCCATTAGGACAAAGAACAGAAGAATGATGATAAGAGCTGTTTACTGAAATATTTTATTTGCTGGCCTTTATTTTGTGCTGAGCCATGCAAGTCTCTATTCATCCCTATATATTAATCCCTGTGACTGTTGGTTGAACTCTATAGCTTTCTCTGGAGTGATGATCTCACATGCCTTCTAGACTCATTTTTCTTTGAAGAGTGAGAGTGACTACTGAGGAAACTGTAATAGTCAGCCAAGCACAGCAAAGCTCATGGCACCAAAAGCCACAAACAGTGCCAACTAAAACTTGCAGGAAATTGCTCCAATTAATGTTAGAAAGAATGCTGTTTACCTGTGAACTGAATTTATTGCCCAACATATGTTGGTGCTGAAACTCCAGTAGCCACTTGATGCAAAGAGCTGACTCATTGAAAAAGACCCTGATGCTGGGAGGGATTGGGGGCAAGAGGAGAAGCGGGCAGCAGAGGATGAGGTGGTTGGATGGCATCACTGACTCAATCAGTGGACGTGAATATCAGGATAGTGGAGGACAAGGAAGGCTGACCTGCTGCAGTTCATGGGGTTGCAGAGTCAGACACAACTTAGCCACTGAACAACAGTCTATCATTTCAGGTGGATTTCCAACCTATCTCATAAACGGACATTTCTGTATTATCATTTGTAGTACCCACACACTTTCTATGTAGGCAACGTCTACATGTTCCTATAAACGCTTCACAAAGCGCTACTTCTTTAGATCTCAGTATTTATACCTGTTGTTGATAAATGGAATGATAATCTCTTAAATTCCCTCTAGTGTTCAGTTCAGTTCAATCTCTCAGTTGTGTCCTACTCTTTGCGACTCCTTGAATCACAGCACGCCAGGCCTCCCTGTCCATCACCAGCTCCTGGAGTTTACTCAGACTCATGCCCATCGAGTCGGTGATGCCCTCCAGCCATCTCATCCTCTGTCGTCCCCTTTTCCTCCTGCCCCCAATCCCTCCCAGCATCAGGGTCTTTTCCAGTGACTCAGCTCTTCGCATGAGGTGGCCAAAGTACTGGAGTTTCAGCTTCAGCATCGGTCCTTCCAATGAACACCCACGACTGACCTTCTTTAGGATGGACTTATTGGATCTCCTTGCAGTCCAAGGGACTCTCAAGAGTCTTCTCCAACACCACAGTTCAAAAGCATCAATACTTTGGCACTCAGCTTTCTTCACAGTCCAACTCTCACATCCATACATGACCACTGGAAAAACCATAGCCCTGACTAGACGGACCTTTGTTGGCAAAGTAATATCTCTGCTTTTTAATATGCTATCTAGGTTGGTCATAACTTTCCTTCCAAGGAGTAAGCATCTTTTAATTTCCCTCTAGTGTTAACATATTTTAATTCTATGTCATTTTATTGTGCAAAATAGATATTGAGTGAAGACCAACTCCAACCTTGTACTAAATAGAAGTGTAGTAGGAAAAAACTGTAACTATGCAAACCTTTTGTCATAATATGAATTATATGAATGTGAATTCATAATAATAAATTATATAAAATTATATAGATGCCTGACAAAGAAAATATATAGGTCATAGTTTAATTGGTTTATTTGGTTTTATTCCCACAAACTAAATTTGCTATGATGGAGCCACCAGGGAAACCCATGTTACTGCCACAGACAGTTAGTTATGGTCAGATAGAGTGGCTTATCTCTACCATTTCCCCTGTTAGCCCAGATTTCATTTCTGGTAAATTTCACCGAATATTTAAATAATTTGGGTTTAACAGTATGGCAATAAACATATTAGTTAATGGATCAAAGATTATATTCAGTGACTTAATGTGATAGTTGCACTTGATGGGCATTTTTAATTCATTTTCTCCTGCTCTTCCTCCTTCCATCCTTCTCTTCACCCCTGCATCGCCCTTTCTTATTCTCCCCACCATTCCCCCCACACACCATTCACTATTAGTGTTTCTGTGCACTCACAGAAGCCTCAGGTTATTTTATTTTTTCTTTTTCTTTTTTTTTTTGATGCCTTAGGTGGGAATTCAGACCTCTGAGGTCATCTTTTTATTTCTTCATTCTGTCCAGTGACAGTAGAAATAAACAGCCAATTTCATTATATTTCAAACATTTCCAGAAATGTTTGAAAGTATCACTACACAGTTATCCAGTTCCTTGCTGCTCATGAGTGGTTGATTGTGACTACTTGAAAATATCTATTGACAGATTGCACAGTGGACTATGAGTGCTCTCTCTACTATTGGAAATAGAGTCATTAGTGTTTTTAAATTTAATCACATTACAGGTCAATTCCAGAAACCTGAGAACTAATTCAGAACACTCATCTGTAAAATCCTATTTCTCCAGAATTACCCTTGAAATAAAACTCTGTATTAATATGGTCTCTCCAGAGATATAACAGCTGTAGTCACTTTCTTTTTCCCTTCTTTCCTCTCTTTCTTCCTTTCCTTCTTTCTTTCCCTCTCTCTTTCTCCCACCCTTCCCCCTCCATAGATATTGATAGATACATAGATAAATAGAGAAATAGGTATGGGTTCATTCAGTTACAGAGATCACGGAGTCCCCAAATCTGTAGCCCAACAAGGTGCAGACCCAGAGGAACCCACAGTATAATCAGTTTAAATGGGAAGACAAGAGAGGATAAATGTCCATAGGACACGGACTGGGAGAGGATGGAAGACTTTCAGGTAGGAGGCATTCTCATTTGTGGGAGGATTAGCCTTTTTGTTCTATTTGTCCTTCAACTAATTGGGTGAGGGCTACCCACATTACGAAAGACAGTCTGCTTTACTCAAGTCGATGAATTATCAAACTTATCCAGAAATATCCTCATGGACACATTTGGAACAATATTTCACCAAACACCTGAACGTCCCTCTGCTAATCAAGTTAACATATAATGTTAACTATCACAGCTTGTCCATTTATTATTGGATTTCTAAAAATAAACTAAATCTTAAAAGTAATCCATTAAGAATTATTTTTAATTTAGCTCTAGCCCTGTTTATATATTTTCCTTTTTACTTTGAGTATAAAGATGTGTGTGTGTGTTAATGTCCATAATTCCATCCCCTGTAATGAAATTTGTAAGCATACACTGGTTTCTCCATTTGTATAGCTTGAATACAATTATTCTCTAGATAGCAGTCTCTATTACTTTTTGAAAAATAGTAACCACTACAGTAGCTATACTTTCTTAAGCTGTAGAGTCACTTACAGAAGTGTTATTTTCACCCTTTCCAAATAGTTAGAAATGGCTCGGGTATATTGTTTTGTGGTTAATTTCAATTTTATTGCTTTGTTTTTATACAATATGGCTTATACTATTTCTACACTTAAGGCTTAAGTCTTTCCAAGAGACTTGATATATACTATATTAATAATTAGGTCATGCTAAATAAAACTTTTCTTTATAGGACTTAAATTTTATGATATAACTATTCATTCAAGCTGAGTTATCTTTTGTCTGACTGATCTTTAAAAAAGTGAGAGACATTAAAATCTCTCACTATATATATATATATATAAAAGTGGGTTTCCATTTTCTACTCCAATATGTGTATATATACCCATGGGAGTAGAAAATGGAAACCCACTCCAGTATTCTTGCCTAGAAAATTCCATGGACAGAGGGGCTTGGCAGTTACACTCCATGGGTCTCAAAGAGTCAAATATGACTGAGCACACACTCATGTTCATGTACACATATATTTGTGTATATATACATATATAAAATATATGTAAATCATATACATTTGTATATGAATGCATTTATAAGATGAATATGTTCTCACATATGTGAAAACAGCATATAAATCTATTTGTTTCCCCTGTATTTTTCCTTTTTTATTGAGGTACAGATGTTTTACAATATTATATGTTTCAGGCGTACAACAGTGATTCACAAATTTTAAGTTCATATTCTGTTTATAATCATTATAAAATATTGGCTGTATTCCCTTTGCTATACTATATATTCTTGTGGCCCAGACAGTAAAGAATCCACCTGCAATGCAGGAGACCTGGGTTCGACCTGGGTTGGGAAGATCCCCTGGAGAAGGGAATGGTTACCCACTCCAGTATTTTGCCTGGAGAATCCCATGGAGAATTCCTGGAGAACTCCACAAAGAGTCGAGCAGGACTAAATAAGTAACACTTCTGTGTATGATCTTTCTAAAGTATTGGCTGTGTTCCCTGTGTTTATATTCTTGTAGCTTATTTGTTTTAGACATAGTAGTTTGTACCTCTTAATCGTCTATCTCTATCATGTCTGTTCCTCTCTCTCTGGCCCCGTTCATAGCCACTATTTTGTTCTCTATATCCGTGAGTCTGTTGTTGTTATATTTACTAGCTTGTTTTATTATTTTACATTCCACACATTATTGATCCCATACAGTATTTCTCTTTCTTTGACTTATTTCACTTAGCATAATACCGTCCAAGTCCATCCCTGTGATTGCAAATCATTAAACTTTGCTCTTCCCTATGGCTGAGTAAGTCTCCCATTACACACTCACACATATGCACATCGGGTCTTTATCCATGTGTCTGTTAATGTACCCTTAGGTTGCGTCCCTATTTCCATATTTGTCAGTTATAAATAATGATGCTATGAACATCATGGTGCATATGTATTTTCAAGTTAACATTCTCATTTTTGGTGTTAGATACCCAGGAGTGAAAATGCTGGGTCATATGGAGTTTCACTTTTCAGCTTGTGGGTAAGCCTCCATCCTCTTTTCTCTGGTGTCTATACCAGTTTGTATTTCAAACTACAGTGATTTAGGTTTTCCTTTTCTCCACATTCTAGCCAACATTTCCTATTTGTGGTCTTTTTGATGATAGCCATTCTGAAAGGTATGAGGTAATAGCTCACTATGTCCTTAATTTGCATTTCTCTGATGATTAATGATGTTGAGCATCTTTTCCTGCACCTGTACGCCATCTGGATATCTCCTTTCAGAGAATGTCTATTCAGGTCCTTTGCCTATTTGCCTATTTGGAATATTTCTTTTCTTGAGATTGAGTTCTTTATATCTTTTAAATATCAACCACTATTGGATATATTGTTTCAAATATTTTATCCAATTCAGTAGACTTTTTTGTCCTGTTGATGATTNTAATATGTTGAGTAAAAGTAGCGAGAGTTGAGATCTTTGTCTTAGTCCTGATCTTAGAGGAAATGCTTTCAAATTTTTGTTGAGTGTGATGTTAGTGGTGGGCTTGTCATATGTGGTCTTTATTATGTTGAGATATGGTAACTCTATGCCTAACTTCTGTAGTTTTTTGCTATTAATTGATATTGAACTTTATAAAATATTTTTCTGCAACTATTGAGATGATATAGTTTTTAGTCCTCATTTTTAATATA